GGCCTCGGCAGCCTGCCCCTTCTGCCCGGGGGTGCTGGACAAGGACGTTTTCCATGCCTTCCTCGACTGCGCCTGGCTGCGGCCACTCTTTGCAGCCCTCGAGGTGCTGCTGCAGGCACTGGGCCGGGACTTCTCAGAGGACACCTACATCTACTCCACCCCGTACCGGTCAGCTGAGCGGGCCGCAGTAAGCCTGGCCAACTTCCTGCCCCCCTGGGTGTCCCCAGTGGCAGAACTGTATATATGTATATGTGTAAATACTCCTTTTGTTCTTTGTGTTTTTGTTTTTTGTCTAATGTGTATGGGCAGGCCTTGCAGGCCATGAGCCCAGGCCTTGTCCATGAGGCCCAAATCTTCGGGCCAACTTGTACATAATCTCTACTGGCCCCGATTTATCACCCTCCCTGGAATAAATGCTTCTTAAAAGTCAAAGTCTTTCTTTCTTGCTATTAGTTTCTCATGCAGTTGATTGTTTAGTTTGGCAGTACTCAAGGTTTTCCATGACATTGTTACCAGTTATACACATTTGCATCCACCCACACAAACCCCAAGTTATGGGTACTTTTTAAAACTAAAAAGTCCTTGAATCCAGAATTCCTATGAGAGCTAGGAGAAAGGTGCATAGAACAAAGGATAATCAACAGAGAAAATTTTGATGTGGTCAAGACCATCAAACAGCCAAGAGTTACCCAGTGATGACTGTTACATGGTCTATGATAAATGGGCTGATGGCCTCAGTCCAGTCTCTAGTGGGAAGCTGTTTATAATGAACCACTACTAGCACTGCTTGGCACTATGGTTGGTAGTCTCAATAGGCATAAGGAGGACATAATAGAAATTAAAACTAAAGTACTTTGTTGTTTTTTTGGATAGTTCTTTTTAGTTATGATTGAGGAGCAATGGCAGGGCAGTATGGAGAAGCCTGCTTTCTTGCTGTCTGGGTCACAGCTCTTATATAGAGAGAGGACTATCATTCTCAAGGTTAATCCAGCATGTGTTGTGAGTACTCAGATTCACTGCAAATTTTAGAAAAGAGAAAAAAAAGATGTATTTTCCGTGTGAATCATAATGTCTTCATCTTCCTTTTTAAAATAAATCCTGGTGAATGGGAGGGAGGGACCTCAACTGCACAAAATCAATATCAATTACTTTTCAATAAGAGACATAGTCCATGTATATATGCTGCAGCAATGACAAAAACTAATCCCCATTATGTATTGAGTACTTTGCTCTTTTATAGCATTTGTGGCTGTAGTGGCAGTTGAGCTATTAAAGGAACAATTGATTAGGCTAGCTGACGTCAATACTTGAAAGGAACTTCACCTGTTTTAGAGGCAAAAATAAAAATGGATGTCTGTTAAAAATATAATTTAAGGTCATCAGAATGCCATATAATAAGAGGTCTGTTGCACATAATTGATGTTCTTGTCTCATTTAGCATTGCAGTTTGCCTGTATTCAGTTTCCTCACATGGTTAGGCTATATGCAGTTTTATTACTATCTATGTCCAAAGATAAGCAAACTTCTGTTCCCTTTTCTAATTTCTTTTAAAATTGCTTTGTGTCATGTCTCTCACATTTAAACTGAATCTATATCTATATCTATATCTATCTATATCTATATATCTGTCTGGACAAAAGTACTAGATAGCTAATACAGAAGCACAATACCAACAATACAACAACTTTTCCATATTGACTTTCTAGTCTGTTTTTGTTTGTAGAATGTACATTTGTAGAAAAATATAACAGGATTTCACAATGAGCTTAGAGTTATTAAATACACATTTTTTTCAGTGAATGAAGGATATTGATTTTCCATTAGAGTTTATATAACATGACTATTTTATACTGTCCTATTCTATACATTTGTGATGGAAATGAATAAAGATTAAGGCCAGAAAGGCTGATTATATTACTGTAGCCTGACTTCCTGCATAACATGGATGAATCATTTGGTGAACTTCCATCAAGGCCAATAAATTACTCAAATTCTGAAAGTCATGGTTTAATGTTACAGTAAAAGAATTAAAGAAAGGACAAACTATAGCAAAAGCAATTGTGATCTGACTTGAAATAAAATATTTAAAAGTTTCTATCTATTGAGCAAAGAAACTCCTGGCACCCTAGAGGAAACTGTACTAGAGCTTCCTTTGTTGGAGACTGACTAAACCATTACATTTAGCTTGTCCTCCTGGGCCTGCATGCTTGAATTTACCTGCTGATCCATTCCCCTCCCAGTCATTTATGGGAAAGAAGTGAAGCACTGGGAAAAGACTCGCTGCCCATTCCCCAGACAAGAGTGTCCACAGCATTACTGTAACAAGGCTGTACTAACAGTGCACTGGTACCAAGTGTCCTTGCAGGGGGGCTGCCAAGTCAAATGGATGTTATGTTTTGTAACAAAAAGTATATCTGCATATTTAATTTTAAATAGCCAGGATGTAATGACTTTTACAATATAAAGATATCATATTAAGTTAACTACACTCTGCACACAAATAAATATATTATTAAATTTATTTTCTGAACATATCATTAAGTTGACAATTAGTGAACCCAGAAGACCAGTGTTACCTCCACTGCACAGAGGCATAAAACATTTACCTACTCCCATATGCTGCCTATTGTGAAATTTAATGATCAATGTCATAGAATTTTGAAGGTTCGGTAGCAATTTTTTCCATTTCAATATTGACGACACTCCATTAATATGTATGTAGCTACTAGTTATTGTTGTTATTGTTGTAAGAGCCAGTGAAACACTATTGTACTTATCTAACAAATAACTGCATGTTCCATGTGCTTGATTAAAGTTATTACATTTCATGCTATTTTACTACTGGTAAGCAAATTGTAATTTTTTATATTGCAAAATAAATATTTTGTCAAATCACTGAGACACACGACAAATTAAAAATTTATAGCAGATTTACTACATTTTTAATTGCTGACAGGAAATAACTTTTGTTTTTGACATGGGGTCCAAAAAAAAGTTGGATGTGAAAAGAAAAATGCTGCAGGAAGCACAAAAAGAAAAAAAATACTTGCAAATAATTTTTATAAATTGATTTCTCCAGCAGTAGAACAACAGTTTAGGTCTAATGACAAGACATAGAACCAAGCAGTGGAAAAACAATGAATGCTCAAATTTGGATAAAAGTGAAAATGTTAAGGATTTTTATTTAAGTGAAAATAAAGGTGTCTCTGAAGGGGAAGTAAGAGATACTGAAAACTTTTTAAACATGTCAAGCCAGGCAAAAGATGACAATTATTACTGTAAGTTTGATAAAAATGAAAACTGCTGTGGGTTTTGGTTTAACTGAAACCCAGGATGACTTAAAAAAAACAGTAACCCACTTAGAAAAATTGATTTTGGTGACCCATTCAGTTGGTTGTTCCTTACTGACAACATCAGATGTATTTAACAACAACACCAGATGTATTTCAGAAGAGCATGGGGTTGAACAAAATGAACAGTACAATTTTAGCAGTGTGAGAGGAATGTGGTGAGTTTGTAGGAAAGGGTATGTGTGGGCACAGGTGATGTGTAGGGAGATAAGAGGGGGCACAGGTGACACAGCAGGGGTGTGTGGGGCAAATGCTGCCCCCAAGGTTTCTGTGCCCACAGCAGGCTGCGGGGCTGCAGCTGGGTCAGACCAGCTCCAGGTAGGAGCCACCTCCACGGCCCAGCAGGCATGACTCAATGTGGGAGGGAGTGCCATGCCACCATGGCTGCCCATAGTGAGGCACCCTCTGCCCACAGTGAAGCACCCTCTGCCCACCTGGCAGGAGCAGGGGCACAACTCTGTGCCACCTCTTCTGTCATGCCTCAGCTCAGTGGCCATGGCAGCACGGCACTCCCTCCTGCACTGCATCCCGCTCACTGGGCCACGGAGGCATCTCCAGTCCGGAGCTGGTCTGGCCTGGCTGCAGCCCGTGCCCTGCTGTGGATGCAGATATCTTGGGGGGTATATGCCTCCCCTGCCACATCACTTTGGCTCTCCCACTGCATCGGCTGTTCCCTCCCCCTGCTCCAGTCGTGCCGATGTGTTGCCTGTCTCCCCCCACCTACAAGAAGCATTGCCTGTGCACCCTTCCCCACTTCCCCATAGACCTACCTTGAGGGAGCTGTGGGAGCTGTTCTCCACTGCTGCTTGACTGCCACATGCATGTGTGCGTGCACATGTATGCGGTGTCCCCTGCCTCTGATCACCCTCCCCATTCCCTCCAGCCCCAAGCAGCCCCTTGCAGGTTGGAATTTTGCCAGCCTGCAAGGAGAAACCCATGGTTTCCTGCATTTTTCTATGTTGAAGGAGAAAATATGCATTTTTCCAGTGAACAGAAAACCCAGATGCCTGGTACTAACTCAGGGCCTCAGTCATCGGTCCTAAGCACGTTACCTTACATCCAACACGCTTAACATAACTGAATCCATCTTTTACAACGTAAAATAATATAGAAAAATTACATAATTTTCCTCAGGTTTGGTCCCTCAGGCCCCCACATACTTAAGACCTCATAAGTCATGTGCCCCAGCCCCCTAACAATTTTCATTGCCCTCCACTGGACTATCTCCAATTTGTCCACACCCTTTCTGTAGTTGGGGCCCCAAAACTGGACTTCTGTGGGTGAGAAGAGATTGATTGACCAGTGAAATCATTTCAGATATGCAATAGCAAAGACTTATTTGGATAAATAAAGACAATGTTTATATATTTTTGGATTTAGGGAAGAAAGGGATCTCCTGGCCAAGGTTTTTGGTTCCCCTGGGGACCTGAGTTGGTTTGCTGAGCTCCAGAGAAGTTCAAATTTAGAAGTCCAAAAGTAAAAGTTTATAAGTGTAGAAGTTCAAATTTTCCTTCAGCCTATGCCCAATATTTATAGGCGGCTGGTTTTAATATTTTAATGAATGATCCTGATTGGTTTTATTTAATTTTTGTTTGTTTGTTTCACTGAAACTTTTGCAACTGGATTAAACCAGATTCCTATTTCTTGCAGACCTGGAAGATGTTAATTAGTTGGTGTTCAGGATGCCAACCCATCCTATGCCTTCAAAGAAGACTGCACAGAACACAGAGGTGGATTTACACAAGGAAATGTTCTCTTTAATGAGAGTACAGGACAATCACCTCCAATACTCAGGACAGCTGTCTTGACCTGGGCAGGAAGGGTGCATGCACAGAGCTTAGTGGGAAGTAACATATAAACTGTATACCCTGCCCCATATTTTAATTTCTTCCCCTTGTTTTGCCTATGTCATGGCCAATCTCCATTTCCTTTGCTGAATATCATTGCTCCACCTTTATTGTTGTTTTGCCTATTATAATTAGTGGCAACTATTGTTATCATATCATTATGCATGCACATAGGCTTCGTTCCACTGTTGCATAGGTGCTCTCCTGGCTGGGGGTCACCCATAGGTTATCCTGTGGTCCAGAGTTCCTCTTTGTGTACTGTTCCCTAATAAAATGGGGAATCTTTAACCACCAGGATATCTGTCTTACCTGTCTGTATCCATCTTGAGCTAGTTCAGTTGGCTTTTGCAATGTTTGGACACTTAGTCTTGTGATTCCAGTTGTAATCTTGCATTGCTAACTCAGCATTTGTTATTAGTTATTTGTATTCCTTCCCCTACAGTTGGGACTTATATTGAGAAAGCAAAGGGAACAAAGGAAGGCTTTCTTATTTTATTTCCCTTCTCATTGTGGAATGCTGTTAACACTGGTTTAACACCAGTTTATGGTCTGACAGGGCTGTTGTTTTAATGCTTATTTAAGCATTTTAACAAAAAATATATTTATTATAGCAAAATAACATTTAATACATTTGGTTACTGTGACAAAAGGAGCCAACCCACGGCCCAGTTGGGAGATCAGCCCGTTTTTCTGTCCTTGGGCAAATTGCCCGCCTCTTTCTTCTGCCACACCTTGATGTCCTATTGTTTTGATGTTAGTAGGTGGAGGCTGCCCTTCCCTGATGACAAGGGCCTGATGTATACACGCCAACCACCTCTATGTGTATCCCATGCCTCACAGATGTTTCCTTCAGCTAAGTAGCACTGGGACTTCAGCTCCAGAGTCTCACATGGGACTCTCACTTCCCACCAGAGTTCAAAGTCCCAGTGCCCTTGCAGATGTTTCCAGGCCTACCACCTGGCTTCCCTAATGGTGTACACACCAGGCCTTCCATATCCAGCTTAGCACCTGGCCCCTAGTCAAGTGGCTTGCATCGGGCCTTGTCAAGTGCCTCCTTTACCCCAGGGCCTCACAGCTGTACCCCTCATAACTCTCCCCTCCTACTGAAGCTGCTTAACTGCCTCATCTCTGAGGTCTCACAACTGCACCTAAAAACTCAGCTGCCTCTCACAACACTGCCCCAAACTCTGGGCCTCACTACTCCACCCTCTCTGAGGGCCACACTACTCTGCCCTACCATTCAGGCTCAGGGTTGACCACCCCCATAGGCTCAGGTGGCACCCCACTTGCTGTGTCTGGCCCACCACTCTGCCCCCTCACTCAGGGCTTGAGGTAAAACACCTCTCCAGGCCCAGGTAGCACTCTCCTGCTGTGCCTGGCCCACCTCCAGGGTCTACCATCCCACATGGCTCAGGTGCAGTTACTCTGTATGCCTGGCCCTGAACTACTTCCAAAGCCCACCCAAAGGTGGGGGAAGGGGTTAAGGTGCCCCACCCACCTTACACTGGGATGGTCCTCGAACCTAGCATTTAAGAGGCCCTGCCCCACCAAGGGCAGGACCACCAGGCCTCCCTATCCTGGCAGGGTACAGTTTCAGGTGAGGCCTCCTCCTTCCCCATAGCCTCACCCTTATGTCCGAGGTGTTCCAGGAGCAGCTCAGCCCAATGTTGCCTCCTTGGCTGCTCAACACAGACTGCTCTGCTCTTATACCAGAGCTCTCCAAAGTGGCCACCCTTGTCAGACACCTGGCAGCTGACTGCTCCAGGCCTTAAAGTGATGGAGTACTGAAACTGTTTCGTCACCATAACATATATATTTATTTTTAATTAATTTAATATAAAGTTATGGTACAGAGTATTTGGATTATTTGATGTATGTTTTTTTAATAATCTTTTCTTTTAGGCTTTGAACTCTGTTTAATTAAACATGTGCATAGTTTTCTTTGCTTTGCTAAGCAAGCTAGTTGCTACATTTGCAAAGTTTCAAACTATGGTCACTTAGATACAGGCTTTTGAGGCCTTCTGCTTTAGCTACACTTCGGAGCTTTGGCTTTAGCCTCTTGAAAATGGCCAAGCCTGGCAATAACTTACCCATGGCTTATGCTAAATAAGGGCTACACTTCCTCTCTGCCGTGTGTCTTACACCTCACCATTGTAATGTCCAAGGACTTAAAAGAAGAAATATCTGTGGAACTTCACCTGAATTAAGCTAGTAACTTCACATGAACCAAGCTGGAGAGTGTCAGATAAAGACTAGGAGGTAAAGAGTCTTTATGTCAATAGCTCTCATATCCTGAGATGCATGCTGTTTAGGGGACCAAAACTCCTACTTCTGGTGGGTCCTTATCAGCTGGGCTTGACCTGGGGCCAGCATCCCTGAACGTGCCCGATATACTTCTGGGTTGCCGTCAGGGAGCCTCAGCCTGGCTGTGGCCATGGCCGATTGAGCCCTGCTGCCACACATCTCCCTGCCAAAGTTGCCTTGTGGCGGTATTTTCCATGTTCTCCTTGTATCTCTCTGTGCTAGCTCTGCACACTGAGATAAAGGGTCCGCCACCTTATTGGTCCTACTGGGCCTACGATTAATAGAAAATTTAAACAGTTGCAGTGCCAAAGCCCACTGTGTGAGACTATTATGATATCATCTATATAGGATGCAGCGTAGGCCACATGCGCTGCCAGGAGGTCATCTGTCAGGCAATGAAATATGGCTGCCGCCTCATGAAGCCCAAATGGTATGCATTTAAATTCGAACAGACCCCATGGCATTCTAAAGGCCATTTTAGGTTGATCTCTTGTTACCATTGGGATCTTTCAGTAGCCTTTGGCATGATCAATGGTGGAGTTATATTGTATTCTCCCAGTTCTCTGAAGGAGCTTCTCAATTTGTGGCACGGAGAATGCATCAAAAATGGCTGTACTGTTGACTTTGAGGAAGTCTATATAGAGTCTCAGGAACCCATTTTTCTTGGGTACTGCCACTATAGGGCTGTGACACGGGCTACATGAAGGGGCTATAATTCCTTGCTCCCACATTTCTCCACCTCTTGTTTAACTACATCCTGTAGGTGGTGTGAAATGGACCTCTACTTCTCTCTCACCATCCCCCCCGCCTTTGGCTTATCTATCCTATGTTCAATACCTCTGGCCTTGCCAGGTTTTTCACTAAACATCTCCTGATACCTCCCTATCAGCTGCTGTATGTCCACTTGTTGTTCTGAACTTAAATTATCCCCAACTTTTATGGGTATCTTATTTGCTGCCTCTCTGAGACCTTCCCCCATTTATGGCCCCAAATCTTCCTGCCTTTCTTTGGGACTCAACATCCACCCTTCAGGTTCTTGCCATTTTCTTAATAGGTTCACATCACAGATTTGCTTTTCTTTCTTGTGACCTGGTCAGCAGCTTCATAGTCCACAGGCCCTGCCTGCAGAACAACCTTGAAGGGTCCTTGCCATTTGGTAAGCAGCTTACTGGCAGAGGTCAAGAGCACACCAGCACCTTTTCCCCAACCTGAAACCCATATTCTTGGGTCTTTTTGTCATATTCTGTTTTCTGCTTTTCCTGTGCTCATTTCATGTTTTCCTGTGCCACTTGCATGGCCTGTCCTAACATGTGAACTAGGTCTTGTCTATGTTTTGGTGCACTTTCACTCCTTTCCCCTGTTTCTTCCCATTCTTCTCTCAAGCTGTGTGACAATCCTCATGGGCAGTGGCCAAATACAAATTCAAAAGGTGAAAAAACCTGTTGATGCTAGTGGTGTATCCTACAGCACAAACATCACAGGTGTAAGTAGTAGATCCCACCTTCATGGTTCTACCTGAGTGCAGTGACGCAACATCCGTTTGATGGTCCCATTCAAGCGCTCTACTAACCCATTGGTTTGGGGGTGATACACCATGGTTCTAAGTTGCTTAACCCCGAGCACCTGACAGGTGGCTCTCATTACCCCAGCCATAAAGTTAGATCCCTGGTCAGTTAGGATTTCCCAGGGAACTCCCACCTGAGATATCCATTTTAATAACTCGTCTGAAATACAGTGGGCTGTAACTGCCCTCAGGGGTATCGCATCCAGGTAACGTGTAGCATAATCTGTCAATACTAACACAAATTGATTCCCCGACCCACTCTTCAGCAATGGCCCAACTACATCTAGTGCAACCCTCTCAAAGTGGGTACCAATAAATTGGCATACTCTGCAACAGCACCTTAGGGGCATTCTCTCCTGTGCCTTCTGACATTCCTCACAAGCCTCACACCATCATGATACCTCCTCCTGTATCCCAGGCCAGACGAACCATCGTGATATTTGGGCCACGATATTTGGGTCCATCCCAAAGTGTCCACCCATAGGGGAGGCATGCGCCTGGTCCCAAAGGGCCTTTCGGTATGTGCAGGGCACCAACAATTGGCGAGTCCACCCCTCTTTCCTGGTGGCTTGACTGACCCTGTACAATAACCCATTGTGAATTTCAAAATGTGGGTTACTTACGATTAACGCTGGCTGTGTAATCCACTCATCCACTTGGGACAGCTTTCCCTCTCGTACCTTGTCAAATTCTTGTTCCTCCTCTTGGGCTAATTTAAACCAAGGTCCAGGCACCTCAGTATTCACCCGTATCTCTGGGTCTTCTTCCGATGATGAGGTATCACCCTTGCTAGCTACCCAGCCCTCAACTTGGGGCCACCCCTTTTGGGCTTGCTCTGCCTCTTTAACCTTGTTGAGTACCTCGTCCAACAGGGCCCAATCTCTTCCTATAATCATGTCAGCATCAAGGTTCAGTGCAAACCCAACCTTTAACTTCCCCCTTTGGTTGCCAACCCTCATTGTAATATATCCTCTCTTATAACACTCCACCCCTCCATGTATAAATCTCATGCACACTGGTTTACACCATTCTTTGATGTGCTTGCGTATCAAACCCATTCTTATTAGGGTCTGTGCACATCCTGTGTCTCAGTGTTTTGCCTGCCACTTCTGCCATCACAGTAGGGCGGTCCCCATTTGTTCAAAAGGTCTTTCAGTAACTGTAGGAGTGTTTTTGGTCTTTTGTCTTCTTTCTCTTTTTTTGCTCTGAAAAGTCAGTGATAATGCTCTGGAGTAAGCTCCAATCAATGAAGGATCACAGTCTTGACTTGGTCTTAGTGACTCCCATGGACTTAGCCTCCCATGCTGCTAACCAATGTGCCTTGTTCCTATGGGTTTTTCCGGTTTCGCTGTCACTTGAGGAAAAGACATCTTGGTACTGGGTTAGATTCCGGAAGGTCCCCCAAGGGGTTCTCACCTGCCATGTCTTTCTGGAATAAATTAGTTTAATTGAGAGGAAGATGGTATGTCCAGCCTTTCCTGGTGCCTTCCTTCAATGTTCCCTTCTGTCTTCCTACTTAGGGGCTCCACCTCCCCTACACCTCACCTAATGCCAACCAAAGGTGCTATTTCCTGTTTTCTAGATCTGGTCCGGTATAGGCTCCGATATTCTGGCTCTTTGAATTATGCTGGTCAGATTTGGACATTGTCTCATCCGGGTTTTCTCAGGCCGTACTTGGTCCAGCCCAAACTCCTTCCCAACCCCAGGTTACCTTGCTCCCCAGCATCTCTGTCTCTCTCTTGGATCTGTACTTGCCATGGTTCAGATTCCTGTCTCTCCTTTTCTCCTCAGGTTTCTGCTGGGTCCAATCTTGACTGGAGATATCTGGAGTCTACAGCGTTGCTTCAGGTAAGTCACTTACCCTTCCACAGCTCAGCTTATCTTTGAAGGTCCCTTCCTGGGGCAGCAACCACTTACCCTCAGTGGGGCTGTGTTCTGCTCCAGGCCACTCTGAGCCCACCGGGGAACCCACTTCCAGTCCCCCATGCTGCTTGTCCACCAGGCCTTTTATCCCAGCTTCAAGGGGCCAGCCGTAAATCGGTGCCGGCACGCTGCCATACAGCGTGCCCATGCCGACGCGGGAGCCAGTCCCAGCTCCTCCCAGATCCATCATTCCTTTTTTTCCTTTTCTCTTAGTGTGGTGGTTTTTTCTGCCATGGTTTCACTTTTACTGTGCTCCCAGCTCAGCGTGGCCTCCCACCAACTCTGCTCCTCACTCACTCAGGGTAAGTCTTCTCTTATTGCTCCGTGCCTGCCACAGTCCTCCCTCAGCAAAGAGTGATACACAGCCTGGGTCTTCCCCACTAGGAGGGCCCCCCAAATAACTGGCCCATAGTGCCTGTTCTAACCTGACCAGTATGGCTGTCCTCTCAAAGGCTTCAATGAAAGCCTTGGGTTCATCATCCTTGGTTATCTTCTGCATACAAAATGTCATCCAATTACACCACATCCACTCATTTTGGTGACTTGCCTGCTGCTGCTGCACCTCAAGAACTTATAGCTTGCAGGGTCTGTCCCATCACATCCGGGGTTGCACTCATATTCTCTTCTATAGCCACACAAAAAGCTCATTGCTAGACGGTGAATGCTTTTCAAGTAATTTGAAGAAGCTGTAATATCCAAAAATGTAATAATCAACAAAATTTATTGTAGAGACCTTTTAGATCTAGTGGGATAACTCATACATGCATCAAGATCCAGATCAACAGAGAAACAAACATAGGACACCTATACACATGCATCAAGGCTGCTCTGATGCACGATAATTACAGCAATTAATCAAGTTTGCTGGAGCATGGTAATTATGTGCTCCAGCAGACTCCATCATCATGTGTATCAGCACCTTTGTGCTAAAAAATGGCAGCAGGGGTGCTTTAACTAAAACTCATTCAATGAGCTTTAGTTAAAGTGCTCCCACCACCATTTTTCAGCACAGGGATGCTGATACACCTTGTGGAGGGCCAGTAGGGGGTGCTCCTGTGTCAAGCCACTCACCTCACTGCGTCTGACTGCCTTCCAGGGTCTGAGTGCCTCCCTGGGGGTGCCTCATGTCTAGCCAACCCCCTTCCTGGAGCACACCTGCTAGCCTGGAGGTAATGCCGCCACCACCCAGGGTCTGGACTGATCCTGTCACTGTGACCCTGGGAAACACAGGCTTAGTAGTCCTTGAGGGTACTCGACCCACTCCAAGAACTTGGGGTGATTCCCTCAGTCTGAAGCACAAATAGTGGTCTCCCTTAGCCAGCAGAACCAAGGGGACCCCAATGCATAATCTAGACCCACTCCCAGTAAGTCTCCCATGTTAGGTACAAAGGAGAACTTTATTGGTTACAAGGAGTAGGTTTGGAATCATATACAGGGTTGAGCAATATCAGAGAAATCCCATAGAGCAAACTGGCATGGCTGGGTAGCCTTTGATCGTGTATCTGAGTTATTGCCGGCTATATATGTAGCTAGATCTCAGGTAGCTTACTCACGAGTATCATCAAGAGGCAGGTGGAGATTCTCTTTGGAGGGAGGCAGTTCATTGATCATGAGTTTCAAGAGAGAGAGCAAGTTTCAGATGGTCCAGCTTCTCTCTCTGTGTTTTCATCACGGTGACTTCCCATCCTCCTGGGCAGTCCTTAACTTATAAAGATCTATGACTTCATTTACCTGGCCCAGTGGAGGCCAGCAACTGTTGGCTGCCAGCCAACCAATTTGAAATGCATCAGTGGTTGCTGGGTAGACTGGCATTGCTCAGAACAATAGGGAGCCCAAGCCCCTCACCCAGGTATGTGATGCCAGTAATGTAGGCAGAGGGAGCAGGTTACCCCCCCCCCACTCAGGAATGTATCCAGCTCAGGGTCACATGAAGAGATG